TTCCTAATCTGACATTTGTAAAACGGAGCCGTTTTGGAATCGGTTATTATCTTATGCAGCATGACCAACGGAGCCTTTGTGTTGGGCAGAGGCAGCCCCTGGGAGGAGTGCCATCCGCTAGGAAAAGCGTTATTTTCTATTAGAATTTAATTGTTTTATAGCCTTTTTCACCACAGTGAGACATCTGTGCTCTCTGCCTCCCGAGCAATAATAGATCCGACTGGTTGAGGTGGTAGTAAGCAGTGTGCTCCTCTCAACTATTATCTCATTGTTTCGAGTTACTTTATTACTTTTATTACTTTTCAGACAGCACCTTCTGCAGTTTGTCTATGAAGACCATCCTCTTGTCCTTTAAGGCAAAATTTATGGATCTTAGCATGGCCATGAAAGGAAAGGAACATACTCTGTTATGAATGGAAGATGATTTCTCTTTGAGACTTTAGGCTGAGCGGTTTGTATCGGCGTCGGAAGGACGTGCAGCTGCTGGTCCCTTGTAGTCTGTTTTCCCTCTGGCACCACATGTGACTCTACTGCAGGCCACTGATCTTTGAACACTTATTTGGGAGGTAGATTCAGATTGGATATTAGGAAAAAATTTTCTACCATGAGAGTTGTAGAACACTGGAACAGATTGCCCAGAGAGGTGGTGGATGCTCCATCCCTGGAGACGTTCAAGGCCAGGTTGGACGAGGCCCTGAGCAACCTGATCTAGTTGGAGATATCCCTGTTCCTTGCAGGGGGGTTGGACTAGATGACCTTTGAAGGTCCCTTCCAGCCCTAACCCCATTCTATGATTCTATTTTTTTCTCCCTGCTTTAGCTTTCAGCTGCTGCCTTGGCCGGTGTTGCGGTGCGTTTGAAGATGGAGGGATGTAGCTGTGACAGCATCACTGCCTGTTCTGCTTAGGTTGTGGACCTCAGCACAAGCTGTTATTTAGGAACAAGTTAAGAGTGACATCCCCTCCACGTACTCCTCCAAAAAGGAGCTGAGAGCAAGTAGTAAATTTTAGTCTCTAACCCAACCTAGTGTAGCCCACAAATGGTTTTAAGTTGTACCCGTCTTGCGACGTGAGGTAGCAACAGGCTGAGCCCTAAAGACGGAGGGATTTTACAGAGGGATCTGATCAGGCTGGATTGGTGGGCCAAGGGCACCTGTATGAGGTTCTAGGGACGTGGTTGAGTGGCGCATTTGGCAGCGGTAGGTTAACAGTTGGACTCAATGATCTTTCAGGTCTCTTCCAACCTAAACGATTCTGTTGTCCTCTGTGTTGCTTCATGTCCAGCTCTGTGCTCATTCCTTGTAGGCACAAGACTTCTGGGTATGAACTCTGCATTCTGGACTCTTCCCCCTCAATGCCAATGGAATTGGCTTGCTTTGTGCTGCCTGATTGGTCCCAAAGGAAGCAGACTTGGCAGACAGTCTGTTGCAAAATACTGGCTGTCATGTCTTGATAGTTTTGGAAAGGTGTTCAGGCCAAACGGTTTAAAAACCAAAGATTTAGTTTCTTCTGAGTTGTTCTTCTGAGATTGTTCTTCTGAGTCTTCCTCAAGGAAGAAATGCTGGTGTGCAGTTAGGATTGGTTACCATATGTTTAAGAAGAAAGAAGGAAAAATAAAGCAAATTTGCTTGAAATAGCCAACTTATTTTTCTCCTTGCTTATGAATAATTTATTATGGGGTGGGATATAACAGCTGTGCTTAGAAGACTGTGGTAAGAAATAGTTGAGCTTTCAGGTGGAGCCTAGAAAGTGTAACCACACTGATCCACATCTCAAAGAGCACCATCACTCCAAAGGAAGGGGCCGAAGGGGTTTTGCTCCGTAATGTTCTGTTGGACATTTGTGAGTCTAGGATAGATAGACATAAAAGATGAGAGAAGGGGGCAAAAAGGCAACAGGAGGGAGAGCTTGAACAGGAGGGAGAGCCATTGGAGTGTGGCCCAGACGAAAGCTTAGAGTATGAACGTGCCCCTCAAACTGATTCTTAGGGGCAAAAAGTGCTGAGCAGGTCTGGTTTGCTCCATCGGACTGCGCTTCCTTCTGTGGCTGCAAACAACGCTGGGGGATCTTTGTGAGACAGCTGATAGGTCAGTCCCTGTACGGAGCTCCCTGTCGAGGAGGTGATTCTGCCCCTCTGCTCTGCTCTCATGAGACCCCACCTGGAATACTGCGTTCAGCTCTGGGGTCCCCAGCACAAGAAGGACATGGAGCTGCTAGAGCGGGGCCAGAAGAGGCCACAAAGGTGATCCGAGGGCTGGAGCACCTCTGGTATGGAGACAGGCTGAGAGAGTTGGGGCTGTTCAGCCTGGAGAAGAGAAGGCTCCGGGGAGACCTTCCAGTACCTAAAGGGGCTACAAGAAAGCTGGAGAAGGGCTTTGGACAAGGGTTGGAGAGGGGCTTTGGACAAGGGCAGGTAGTGCAGGACACGGGGCAATGGCTTTAAACTGAAAGAGGGGAGATTTCGATGGGATCTAAGGAAGAAATTCTTCCCTCTGAGGGTGGTGAGGCACTGGCACAGGTTGCCCAGAGAAGCTGTGGCTGCCCCATCCCTGGAAGTGTTCCAAGCCAGGTTGGATGAGGCTTTGGGCAACCTGGTGTAGTGGAGGGTGTCCCTGCCCATGGCAGGGGGGTTGGAACTGGATGATCTTTGAGGTCTCTTCCAACCCAAACCATTCTATGATTCTATGACTACTGGTTTAGGTGAGAGTTCTGTGTTGTGGGGTTGAGGACTCACTTTAAATACTGGGAGGATTAAAGCCAACTTCTTGTCTGTATTTGAAGTCGTGTTGTTGAGTCGCTACGGGATGCGTTAGGGAACCATGGATGGTTTCGCTCAGTTCTGGAGAGTGCTCCGTTCCAGCCTTTTTGCTCTCAGTCTCTGGTTGCATCTGTTGGATTTGTGAGATGGCAAAAATAATCACAGGCTTCTTGCATTTCTGTGGCCCTTCTTTTCATGGTTCTGTGCAGAGAACTCTATGAAAAAGGTTGTTTAAATTTCGTCATTTTGAAGATATTTTCTGCGGGGCTGGAAAGTGGATGTTCTTGTGCCCACCGTAGTGCTGTCCTCTCTTGTGGACACCTGAGTGTACTTCTGACATCTAGAAAACGGGATGGTAGTACAGTGGTGTCCCAACTTTTTCCTGGGATGGGGATGACGACACACCAGTCCGTCCCCATGCAATGTGTTCTCCTCACCCCATACCCATTCTAGAATATGAGAGCTTACTGGTGTGGCTAGCACTGTGCCGCCCCCTGGACCCTGCCACTTGTTAGTCCTCGTGTCATGGTCTGGTTTGCATGTTTGCAAAGTGATAAATTGGGTCACTGTCACATTATACTTCGAAAAGGTGCGAAGTGGAGCGAGTGCTGCAGTTAGTCCTCGTGTCATGGTCTGGTTTGCATATTTGCAAAGTGATAGATTGGGTCACTGTCACGTTATGCTTACGAAAAGGTGCGAAGTGGAGGGAGTGCTGTAGCTCTGCTCCAAGCCACCTCCGCTTCAGCACAAGCACTGGAATTTGTCACTGGTGTTAAACCCTGCAGTACTTGAGTTACAGGTGTACCTGGTGGCCAATTTGTCCGAGGATGTGTCTTTAATTAATCTTGCAAAAGGTGGTGTGTCCTGATCCGTACTTGAACGTTCTTAACAAACACCCCAGGCTTAAGGCTTTCCATGTCTAATTTGAATCAATTGAAATAGATGCACGGCTATTTTTGAAGAAATTAGTTGGTAATTACTTTGTCATAGAGATATTGTGTTTAATTTTTATTGTTCAGGGAAAGAAATCTCTGAAAATGGGATTAAGCTTGCCTGTAAGTATCAGTCATTTGGGTGTACAAAAGAAATACAGTGAGGGTGATGGCTTCATTCTGTTATTGTTATGCTTGAGAGGGAAAAAAATCTCCCAAAACATGTAAAAAACAGAAATGAATGAAGAGAAACAACCAAGCAGGAGCATTGTGCTGTAGAAATGCCACTATGGATGAAAAGCACATTAAAAAAAAAAAAAGAGCTTGACTTGTTAGGAGGCTGCTGTCGTTAAATCATGTAGTTACTGTAGAGTTTTATGGAATACTGGTATGAGCCAGCGCGTAGGAAGTTTTATACACTCCATGAAAATAAATCAACCCAGAGTAATTCCTGCTTTCCTCTGGAAACAAAGACCTCTGCCTGGTAAGGGCAGCAGCTCAGGTTGGGTGGCCCGAGGAAGTCAGGGCTACCATGGGCTCACCTCCTCTTCATCCTCTCGATTCAATTTTCAGTTCAACCCATCTGTTACAGACTGACGTGTCACACGTCCATCACCTCTAAATTGCTGCTGTTTCAAGTGAAGAGCGTTTTAGGGAAAAGCACGGTTGATTTTTATTGGGCTTTAAATGCTCCACTTTGAATGGTGGCAACTGGGGAGTCCATCAGTTGTTCCCAGTGTGATTCCCTGCAGACAGTGACACGAACATCCTGGGGCCGTGACTTTGCCGGTAACGCCGAGCCAGGACATCCCTGCTCATCAGTCCGTGCTTTCAGTGACCAGGTGGCTTCCATAATTGCAAAACTTGGGACGTTTCAGTATTAAATGTTGGGAAATGCAAGGAATTACTGCTAATACAGGTTGCTTTGTCTTAAATATGCTTTTCTTTTTTAACACTTCTGTCCTAGAATTCCTAATAGCTTTTTGAAGCTGAATGTCTTTCCATCCTTTTTTTTTTTTATGTAGAACTACAGTTGCTCATGTTCAGGTTAGGAAAGGAGATGAAAAGGCTTTTTTTCCTCTTTTCTCCCCAGAAGCTGAACTGTGCCAGAGGGACCGATGCTTTGAAAGAGAAGTGTGATCCTCTTACGCAGCTGCTAATTCCTTGCTCATTTTGATTATTCTTTGTGCTCCCATCTTTGTAATAACTTTGCTTTGCTACTGCCTGGGTTATTTTCCTATGCTAGTGATTTTTAAGAAAAAGTAGTGAAATAATGGCTTGTAACAGATATCCTTCTTTTTGTGTGTAGGAAACTCACAAATGGGTGCTACCATAGTGGATGCATTGGATACTCTTTATATCATGGGACTTCACGATGAGTTCAGAGAAGGACAAGAGTGGATTGACAAAAATCTTGATTTTAGTGTGGTAAGTAAAGCTTTTGCCCTGATATTTCTCTAATCCTTTTCACAGTGTTCCTCTTGGGGGCAGAAAGAAGAAGTCCTTCAGCCTGAACTTAAAAAACTTCTGATTCAGAGTGTCAGAAATTCAGACATAAGCTTTACTGGCGTTCTCTGTGTTGGTAACTTTATGCATTTTGAAAAAAAAAAAAACAAACAACCCAACCTTTTCATACCTTAATTGTAGGTAAAGATAATCTATGTATTGTATTTTCAAAGTACAAATTATAATTGGATAATGGAAGAAAGGGAACCAACAGGACCTCAGAAATGAATGAATGCAGAAAACTGAGACTTTATTAGCTGATAGTAGCTGGGAATAACTGAGCTGTGAAAGACAATTTCCCCCAAATCAGGGGGTGTAAATTAATAATACAATGTCATCTTCTCCCATGTCCTTACGATGTTCTAACATGAAGAATGCTGGTTGAGTCATCTTAGTTTGCCTACAGGTTCTGAATCTACCGGGAGGATTTCCCAGCTGGTCATACAGCATCTGACATTCTTTGTGGATGCAGAGTTCGGGGCGTTGAGTGGAAGAACTGGCACTATTTGATCCTTAGGGATTAGTGTTCTTATTACAGTTTTGGGACTGGGACAGAATTTGTATTTCAATCCTTGGACTTGCCCTATGGTTCTAAAAATAATTTTTCATTCAGTAATGCACAAAATGAGAAGTAGGTATCCAGTCAGAATTGGGCAGATGCTTACTGTTGTTTTTATATTATATCCTACATTTCAGAAATGACTGGTTTGGGTTTTTTTTCCTTTTTGTTTTATACATTAATACTCTGGCAAACATTAAGGAAGTTCTTCTCTGCTTTGTTTCGGTTAGTGCCAGATAATTATTCAGTCGAAAACTGAAGACCTTAAATATATCTGAGACAGTGTAGACATAATGGTACCATTATGAGAATGAACTAAATTACTCCTGTAACCTTTGTCTCATCTGAGGCAACCTCGATAAAAACTGGAGAATTAATCCAGGATTTTGGTGGGAGAAATTCACATGACCCATGGAGCTTCGATTACAGCTTCCAGTGTATCAAAAAATATTTCTGAAGGTTAATGAGTCATATATATACCAGATTTCAGTAATTTCCTTATATGATTTGAAATTTATAAATAAATACATAAATTTGTTCTTCGATTCTTTTACTGGGGAGATAAATATCATTTGTTTCACTGTCCTTGTGTGATTCATGACTTTAGTAGGTATTAAGTGGAATCATATGCCACGTTGTTGATATTTTTCATGTATCACCTGTACGTGAATGAAAATACAGCTTTTACTGGAAACCTATAGATGGGAATGTTTAAAACTGAAGACTTTTAATCAGGGCTACTTGAGGAAATCTTTAAAGCATTTGTATTATCTTTTTGAAGTAAAGAATATGTGCAAAATGCATTTATTTTGGAAACAAGTGAAAAGTGTGGTACCAACTGCAGGTGCCATAGAAATAGTGTGAAAGGAAAGATATTCCTGGAAGTGCCACTTGGTGGGTCGACTTGTAAGTGGACGTCCTGGTGTGACTTTTCTGGATGAAACCAAAGGCTCCCTTATCTCAAAATCTTTTCATAAAACTGCACTTCTGTGTCTGATGGGTTAAATGAAGAGAAGTTTATGGGGGAGATGGATGGGGTGCATGCAGGCAAAGGAGCGATCGGGGTGCAGAGGGAGGCAGGAAGATGTTAAAACTAGTTAGTTCCTCTTTTTCAGTGGGTTAAATGAGTCAAAACGTACTGGTGAATTTAGCCCAAGGTTATTAATGTGGAGGAAGGTGGTAAACTGGTTTATTTTTTTGAGCTTCTCAGTGGTCTTGCAGTACTTGTTGTCATAACATTAACTACAGAAAGGCTACTCCTGGACAGGGACTGTGTTAAAATGGAGCTCCGAACCTGAGATTGCACGTTGGTCATTCAGGTTAAGAAAGCACGTTGCAGGAATTCTGGAATTGTTGTTCTACTTTGTCCTGTAAATGATGAATTACGGAAATGTACGGTCCTTGCCTTCTTTCCCACCATCCTGAACAACTTCAGTTGTGCTTTGTGGTGATGATACGATGAGAGAACAAGAGAAAAACTGATTTTATTTTTTTCAAAATCGATTGAAGCTGTAACTGGCATCATCACTGAGTGTTGTGAAGATGCCCCCAGGAATTTCCGTATGGATCTAGATCCTGAAACAGCACAAACCCTTGCATGTGCATATTGGTTTAGGGTATGTACCTGCCTCTGCCTTGATGATTTTTTTTTTTTCTTCTTTGAATAGGAAGTTGGTTAATTATTTACTCTTTTCTTCCTGTTCTAGAACTCCGAAGTGTCTGTTTTTGAGGTCAATATTCGCTTCATTGGTGGTCTCCTGGCAGCGTACTACCTTTCAGGACAGGAGGTAAGGAGACTGGAGGGTGTCCATGAAATTTAACATATTCCAGCAAACGTTGTGTATGAAGAATTTCCTAGAATCTTGGTTTCTCAGTAGTTTGCAAATGAATTTTACAGCAGGAAGTTGTTGAAAGTAACCGAATTCTTGGAGTCTTTAAAGCTTGTTTCTGTGCAATCCTCAGCCTGTTTAGGACCCTTTGTTAGAGTTTTGAAACGGTTTTGTTATCAAGATGTTTTCAAAAGATATCTATCTGCTCAAGTAAATATCAGCCTGAAATGTCAAGTCACTAGCTTCTCATGCCAACAATAACTTGGTTTGATGTTCTTTAACTCCGTGAAGGTGGAAATAACAGTTTTGTCACTAGTCCTGCAAGGCTGTAGGTTTGCTTGACAAAAGAGCTACACAATCTTCTTACTGTTTTCTCAGGGACACACTGAGAAATATCAAGCCTGGTTTTTCCCCACTTCTGAAAGTGAAAGATGGGAGGTTTACACTTCTGAGCACTTATCTGAAGGTGTGCTTAGATTGAAGGGATGTGCGTACCCCAGGACCTGCAACCATGGACTTCTTGGGTCTAGCAGTGACATTGCTGTGACCTCTTACTTCACGTGCTTTAAAAAGGCTGGAGCCTGACCCAGCCTAGAGATTAGGTCACAGCTCTTCTCATGTCTTATCAGCTAGCTGGCTTTTGATCTCTTGCCTATGTCTTTGATTTGTTTGCTTTTATCCTTTCATTTTTTTCTCCCTTCATGATCCTTCCATAGCCCACTACAGAAACCATTTGACTTCCAGATGTATTTCATGGTTTGATGTACTTCCAGGTGTTCGTATATATATCTCTTCCTCCTTTGTTTAGGGGAGCATGACATACGTATCAGTTAGTTATCAGGGATTTTAAGCCCGCAGCCCTAAAAATAACCAGGAGAAGCTCCATATTTCTTGGCTCTTTAGGTCTTTGGAGTCATCCTGGGATCTGCGAATTTTCTCTCGCAGGAGTGTCTTCTCTTTGGAAGAAGAGCTTAGTGGCAAAGCACAAATCCAGCGTGTACCCTGAAATTGCTGCTTCATTTTTCACTGAGCACGACTGCTTCCCCTTCCTTACTGTCCATGCCCTTCCAGCCCCGTGCCTGCAGAGGGCTCAGCTGCAGGCAGCCCTTGCTGCTGTGCTTGTTTATGTGGTCTCTTACAAGGAGACCCAAAGGAAAGGAGAAGCACAGAATTTTGCCCCTCTCTTTCCTTCGTAGCAACTAACGAGCTGAGCTTGAATTTGTGGCAGCGAGCTCTTCTCTGCCTCCAGAGTCTGTCAAACTTAGGTCTTCCAGCAGAGTTTCCTCGCAGCTCAGTAGGGATTTTACCCTCTGGGAGTGATCCTGTTCCCCAGTGTTCCAAGTCAGCCTTTGAAATTGGTTTCTGTGGCACCTCTTCAGGAAGATGGTCTGTGTAGCAGCTGTCACTTAGAGTGGTGGTGAAGTTCAAGCCCTGTGAGCACTTTTGTCCTAACAGAAGTGGTCATAAAAGTCATCGAGTGATCAACCCAAATACTAACTTGAGGCAGCGTCTGATTTCAATCTAGGTCAGCGTTATTAACCTACCAGTTTGCTTTTGAAGGCCTCCAGAACAGGAGCTTTCTTCTGCTGTCAGACATGAGCGAGGAAAACTGCTCGTGTTTCTATTTCCATAGCAAAGCAGTTCCATGGCGAGCAGTCCGAGCTGCATGTGCTTCCTGACGGGTGCCAAGGAGCAGCTGAAGCAGCTCAGCTGGAACCATTAGGAGCAGTCATGGTAGTTCCCACCGTAGCACACGTGACCTCCGCAGCGTGTTGAGGGATCCTTCCTTTCCAGAGATCTCTGCTTCTGTCACTTGGAGCTAAGATCACATGAAGTGCTGTGTGATCATGGAAGCCTTCAAGCCTTGAGTAGCGCAGTCCCAAACCATTTCAGCTGGGAACATCGATCCTGTCTCTGGAGAACTTTCTCAAGCTGGAGTATGCTCCTTGAAATGAGCATATAAATATGAAAATATTAAAATGAAAAACCTCAGCGAAGGAGCAAAGATCACTCATCAAGATGGTTTGTACAGTTCCATGCCGTACCCGTGTACAAGGACCTTAACAGGAGCTTTTTTGCCCCAATCTGCAGATGGGTGCAGCTGAACACTGCCAAAACACGTGCTTTGCCTGTGCCTTCGACTGGTAGAGTCAGAACAAGCTCCTTTGCTTAACGAGTTTTCATCAACACGTTTTCTTTCTTTCCTTCTCAGAAAGCTTTTGCCCTCTGTGTTTCCTAAATTTTGGCCACTGAGCTGACTCTTTTGTTTTTAAAACTGTTTTTGTGGGATCGGTCCCTCCGATGGACTTTAAATGCTTTGTAACTTGTGGGAGAAGATTCCTCCTGTCATATTACTCCTTTTCTTATGTATTATCTTTATTTTCTGAAAGAACTCCTAAAAAAAGGTGTTCAGACTGCATTTTTTTCAAAACAGCGTGGCAGGTAGGACTGCTTCTGGTACCTGAGAGACTCCTTCGTTTGCCAAGTCTGGTGGTTTCTCTGCAGTTTGGCAGTGGGGATAAGACAGGCAAGGAAACCTGAGGCTTTTCAGTAACTGAGCCCAGGAGAGGGACACCTACCTCTGAGAACATCTTGGAGCTGGAAGCAGGTTGGTTTGAGATGTGGTTTCCAGTCTGGTCTTCTCCCTTCTGTTCCCAAGAAGGGAAGGTATTACTTGGCTTAGGACTGGGGCATGCTTAACTTAATTTTTTACTATGTTCAGACATCTGAGGAGACACTTCTTGGCCACTGCTGGGCCACTTGGCCTGATCCCAAGCGTTGGGATGTTTTGCCTGATCAAGCAGTGAACGTGCACATGGGCGTATGTCTCTCTGGGGGAGTCCCTACCTACTGGTGGGTGTCCATCCTGTGTTCTTCAAGCTACCCTTTACTTGCTGGTATTCCCTTCCCACTCCTTCTTGGTACTCCAGTCCCCATCTCCCTTCCTCCAAGCCTCTGCTTCTGTAACACTCTTGCTAGAGACTGGTTTAGAAGGTTATCATACTAATTTCCATACTTTTGCCTGTCTTTTTTGATCTATTGGAAAATAAGTCCAATCAAGGAACAGGCTGCTTGGAATTCATTCTGGTTTTCCACTTATATAATTAAAAGTTCTGCTTAGGTCAGCAACAAGAGTTCCTGCTGTTTGGTTACAAAAAGCTGTTTTTATTTCATTTTGACTCCTGTCACTTCGTGCTGTTAAAGACACTATAGTGACAACCATCAAAGAAAGTGTCCAAGACTCAGCATCAGCTGGGGAATTTTTAAGTGGCCACATTTGGAGAACTGGGTAGTCAGCATGGTTTATCTATATGCTTTTGCCCTTCGTTTGGAGAGGGTAGTTGTACTGGATAGAATTTTTTCTCATTATGAGTCATAATATTAGATATTGATCATCGTTTTTAAATGCAGCTGGCTAATAATTTAGATAAAATTGTCCTGTTTAATGCACTTATTAGAAGCATGCTAGCTTTTAAAAATTATTTACCATGTCTGGTGGCATGACTCTGCTGTCTCCGTGGTGTGTTTTAGCTGTCGTGTTACTGGTATTACTTAGAGGAGCATCAGCTGGGATCATGGTTTTAATGATGCTGGTTACAGTTGATGGTGGAACTTTAAACTTTTCATATTAAAATTGTGGGTATTGCCGTGCCTTCTTTTGGGAAGAGTTCCTTCTTGCTCACTGCCACGGATGGGGGAGTAATGAAATATATCTCCTTTGCAACCAGGAAAAAAAAAAAAAGCTGCTGTTTTTAGCAACTGACTTAAAATGTTGTAGTTTGTCCTGTCCGGTGGTGTTACTGGCCGTTCTTTGTGAAACATGGCATTTGCAAATTTTTTTTTTTAACAGCTCAACCTTTTTATTTCTGCTGGACTTCCTTGAGTGACGAGCATGTAAAGCTGAAGTTTGAGGAGGATGTGTTTTCATGTCCCTCTGGCACAATGTCTTGGTTGTCTTGCCTCATCGTACCTTTCTATTGATGTAGAGACACAAAGTTTTTTTTTCTGGCTAACAGGCATTTCTCCTGATTTGGGGAAAATCACCGTGTTTCTCCATTTTTCCATGTCATAATGCCTTATGAATAGAAGAAAATCAAGATCTGCCAGTCAAACTTGACACAGTGGAATATCTGCCCATGTGTTCTTTAATTGAATCAGTGCTGAGGTTTATCCGGTGGCAGGGCTGGAGATCTGCAGTCTGGGAGGTCCTGGCTTAAATCCCCTGCACAATAAGTTTTTCCTGGCTGATTGTGGACAGGCCACAATTATCAATCACAATTGTCAGATCCAAGAGTGTGCCACCTTTGTCTCAGCTCCTATGTAGGAATGAGATCCAAATCTGTCATTGTTTTTGAGGTTCTTGGGGAGGTTTGTTGAAGCTTTGAGTCTCTGGCTTTTCTCCAAAATACATTATTGAAATATGTAATGAATATATGCCAAAATAGTGGAATGGACCTCTAAAGATCAGCTAGTCCAACCCCTGCCATGGGCTGGGCGTCTTCCACTAGATCAGGTTGCTCAAAGGCCTGTCTTATTGCAGGAAGCCCTGCTAAAATTTTTCTTCTTCATCTTTCTTATAAGCCTCCTTTAAGTACTGGAAGGCTGCAATAAGGTCTCCCCAGTCTCTTCCCTTCTCCAGGCTGAACAACCCCAGCTCTCTCAGTCTTTCTCCATAGGAGAGGTGTTCCATCCTCCAGATTATTTTGATGACCCTCCTCTGTGTCTGCTCTAACAGGTCGATGTCTTTCTTGTACTGGGGACCCCAGAGCTGGATATGGTACTGGGGACCTCAGTACAAGTAGGGTATACTGGAATTTTTTTTAAATTCATAGAATCACAGAATGGTTGGGGTTGGAAGGGACCTCAAAGATCATCCAGTTCCAACCTCCTGCCATGCCTCCTCCCTCCACTACACCAGGTTGCTCAAAGCCCCATCCAATGTGGCCTTGAACATTTCC